TGCGCAGCCCCCCCTCTGGTGGTCGTCCTGATGAAGTAAGGAGTCTTCCTCGGATGAAGTAAGAAGTCTTCCTCAGCTTGTCCTGTTCGCTTTTTGTTCCTTGGACATGTCCCAGCCATTATGTGGACGCCAGCATTCTCTTATTTTCACTTGACTACTCCTGGTACTTTCGTGAGTTCTGCTTCGGTAGAGTTTCACAATACTCCCCTAAATCCACCCATATATGCTTTCCCATATATGGCTATGTTAATTGCTTATCGTTATAGCTACCATTGTAATGCTTAGTTATAAAATAACTAAGATACACAATAAAAGAGTTTCAACTTGTTCTTAAACTTTCCTAATATATAAAACCCCTCTACTGATTAACAGATTTTCAAATATAATCATCTTTTCTGTTTGTATTCTTGTTTCAACACACAATTTCACCTGTTACTAACAGTGCACAGGGGATGAAACTTGCTGCTAACGCAGTGATGGGCTGTAAACTATCCATTAGCACTCAGAAAAGAGGTCTGGAAATCATTGTGATAGGAGGCTGAAAATGGTGGGGCTGTGCTTAGTACCAGTCAGAACAATGTTAAAAATTATTGGGAGAGGAGGTGAGAGCAAAATGGAAAATGTTTTATAAATATATTGTGCACTTGCACCCTGAGTAGGAATCTGACTGTACAAGGAGAGATTAAGTAGACTAGGGCTCTCTAGTTTACAAAAGAGGTTACTGAGGAGAATGATTTAGATATATATATATATGTATAAAAATATTCAAAGACATTTAAATCATAAGTGTCTTGTAGAACACTAGACTATGAGGTAGTCAGTGAAATGAAAAGCATCTCTAAAATAAATTAATGGAACTAATTTTCATTACCTAATTATTCTGTGTATCTCTTTGCAAATGACAAACAAACATCTAAATGTCCACTGAATGTATTAGGCAGGCAGGGTAAATCAAGGGCTAATAATCACATGGATGCGTACAGATTCTTCAGCTTCAGAAGTCTTTAAAATACAGATTGCTGAAAACTGGATGAGTGAGTTGCATAGTTCCCCCACTTTCCTAATGCTGTTTTCTTCAGCATCTCCTGCAGCTGCTATTAGAGAGAGGGAGTTGGTTAGACTGACGTTTGGTTTTACCCACTACGGCGGTCTTAACATACAGGTTAACATTGTCATTTAAACACAAGAGGCATATGTATAGGAACGACTGCCTAAATAGTCTCCCAGCAGCATTTATGCAGAATAGATGGAGCAAATAGTATTTGTTAACATCTCTGGTTCTCTGCTAAGGAGCAACTTTAGAGCAGAAAAGTGTTGTTTGTTAACTCTGTGCTTGACTGTTGGCAACTTCCTTGAGGTTTCTGCACTTTAATATTGGTTTGTGCTTTTAAAGACTGTGTCATGTCTTCCCTATGCCAACTATCAGATTAAAAGGGAAGTATTTAGGGGGCTATAGTCCAATGGGAATTGAAGACTGCAAGTTAGAAATTGAAGGATTGCTGAGAAATTTGCCAGGATTTAAGAGGCAGATTTTCCTGAATATGGAGGGAGACCTGACGTTTTTAGGTCTGGAACTCCAACCTGTCTACCCAAATGTAAAAGAAAGCTGTGTGGAAAATTAAGCTTCAGAAATGGCATAGACGAAACCTAGAAGTGGATGACTATGGGAAAAAATATGGAAAGAAACACAAAGATTGTTGTTTGACAGAAATGTTAAACCAGGAGGTAGAGAGCTTTGCACACTGATTATACTGAATTCATAGTTTTCAGCTTGTCTTGGAAGGATAAAATTGGAAGACTACAGCGGAGAACTGTAGCCGAGTGGAAAATTTTGTGTATGCCATGTTATGTGGAAGATTATGGGTCCCTATGGATCTTTATGGATCTTAAGTGGTGATTCACTCTGTTCCCAGTAGCCTGAGGAACTGATATCCTCAGTACTTTCATGCAATAGCACAGTAGCTTCCTGTGATATTGTTTCACAGGTTGGTTGCTGCATTTCTTAGCCAAATGTATATCTTTTAGATTAAAAGAATAACAAGAATATTCAAACTGATTCAGGAGAAGATTGCACTTTTAACAGTAATTTGGTGCTGTGACTCTATAAGTTCAGGCCATCAATCAAAGCCATTTGTTGTTACCTCACTTATTCATACAATTCTGCAAGTACAGAAAATGAACAGCACCCAAAGTGCAGATAAATCATAGAGAAATAGAATCATAGAATAGTTAGTTATGGTTGGAAGGGACCTTAAATCTAGTTCCAACCCCTCTGCTATGGGCAGGGACACTTCACACCAAACCATGCCACCCAAGGCTCTGTCCACCCTGGCCTTGAACACCACCAGGGATGAAACATTCACAGCTTCCCTGGGCAACCCATTCCAGTGCCTCACCACCCTTACAGTAAAGAACTTCCTCCTTATATCCAATCTAAACTTCCCCTGTTGAAGTTTGAACTCGTTACCCCTTGTTCTGTCACTACAGTCCCTAATGAAGAGTCCCTCCCCAACATCCTTATAGGCCCTGTTCAGACACTGGAAGGCTGCTATGAGGTCTCCACACAGCCTTCTCTTCTCCAGGCTGAACAGCCCCAACTTTCTCAGCCTGTCTTCATACGGGAGGTGCTCCAGGCCCCTGATCATCCTCGTGGCCCTTCTCTGGACTTGTTCCAACAGTTCCATGTCCTTTTTATGTTGAGGACACCAGAACTGCACACAATACTCCAGGTAAGGTCTCACGAGAGCAGAGTGTAGAGGGGCAGGATCACCTCCTTCGACCTGCTGGTCATGCTCCTTTTGATGCAGCCCAGGATACGGTTGGCTTTCTGGGCTGTGAGCGCACACTGAAGTTGGCTCATGTTCATTTTCTCATTGACCGACACCCCCAAGTCCTTCTCCGCAGGGCTGCTCTGAATCTCTTCTCTGCCCAACCTGTAGCTGTGCCTGGGATTGCTCCGACCCAGGTGTAGGACCTTGCACTTGGCATGGTTAAACTTCATGAGGTTGGCATCAGCCCACCTCACAAGCGTGTCAAGGTCCCTCTGGATGGCATTCCTTCCCTCCAGCCTATCAACCGAACCACACAGCTTGGTGTCATCGGCAAACTTGCTGAGGGCGCACTCAATCCCACTGTCCATGTCAGCGACAAAGGTGTTGAACAAGACCGGTCCCAACACCAATCTGTTTAACATACACATAGAGACAGTTGATACATGCACAGTTATCAGAGTAATGCCTGCTATTTTAATAGTCAGTCTCTTCAGACACTTCATCAGCTACTTTTTAGATGAGGTATACTTGAAGTGGCTGTCCCCTTGCACTTACCAGTTCTTTCTAACTTTTCCAGGTGACAAGATATAATCTCATTTCCATAAACGGAAGTTCCCTATGCTCTTTAAATTATTCTCTTCCTAAGAGAGTCTGTGGTATGGCAACATGGCCAAGAGAGTTGGGGCTTTGGTGCTGAATGTGAAGAAGGATGGAATGAAACCATAGCAAGGTCACAGAAATACTGATCAGTGGCCTTCTGGGCAAAAGTAGTGTTTTGTTTTTTTTTTTAGATTAGAAGTAGCAGCAACGTACTCCTTTCCTTGTCAAGACCTTTTCTTGGATGCAAATGTCTCCTCAGGTGTTTTAGGAGAAAAAAACAAAGCTCCTGGGAGAAAGAAAAGGCTTATAGAAATGCGACCATTGCGTGACCTTTTTTGTCTTCTTGGACAGGTAAGTATCTGAGAGAGATAGAAGGGAAACCCAGAGACGGAGAGAGGAATAAAAAGGGAAGGGACTCATCCAAACACAGAGCCTGGCCAGGTATGCATTTGACACTTTATTTCTGCATAGAAATGGTAAAGAAAATTCAGAAAGGCATAATACATGTGAAGCAAAGCTGAGAACTGCAGGCGGTCTGCACAATGTATTCCAGCAAATGCAAAAGGGAATAAACGCGTATCAGTTGCTCACCCCTGTTACCGACAAATCACTCTGTTGGTACCCAGTTTGAGACAGCTTTGTTTGCAGATGCCTGGGACACCTGCTAGCGTTTCCCAGTGTTTCTCCCATCAGAGTGCAGAGGGACCTAAAGTATTTTTCCTTTTTCCCTTTTTTTTTTTTTTTCCAAAATAGGATTTAAGGGCTTTGTTTGTTTGGGTTTTTTCTTTTTTTTTTGGGGGGTCGTGGTGGTGGCGGAGTGGGGGGGGGGGGGGGGGGGGGGGGGGGGGGGGGGGAGGGATGGAGGGTGTTGTTTGGTTTTCTGTTGCTTTGTTTTGTTTTTTTTTTCTCAGTTATGTTGCCTTGTTGTTTCTTTTGTTTCTGTTTCAGCATCTCTCTCCCCACCAGGAGCAGTTGTCAATGAAAACACAGTGGTGCAATTCAATGCTCTTTTGTGCTGCCTGCCTGTGTTTTCTTTTAGAAGCAAGTTTCTCTTTACTTCTGGACCTTAACAGGTGTCTAAGATATGCAGCTGTACTCCAACAGCAGGCAGTACTCTTCGGAGCTTATCTGAATCCTTTTCAAGGTGTAGCAGTAGTTCTCATGCATTCATAAATATCTGTCATTTCTTTCCTAATCCAAAGAGTCTCTCAGTATACTTTCTTTTCTGTTTTCCATTCTGCAGGATGCAGATGGCAAGGCAGAGAGATACAACTTCTGTAATTCTTTCTTCTTTCTACTAATACATATGAAAAGCCGCTCGAAGAGTAGTCTTGTGACATACCACGAAATTACTGGAAGTCCTTTCCAACCCTAACTATCCTATTCTAATCCTAACTATTCTGTGATCCTACGAAGTGAGTACTCGAACAATGTGAATTAACTACTACCTTATAATGTGCTTCCTAAACTATATCCTAAATATATCCTATAATGTGTTTCCTAAAGTATATCCTATATCTACCCTAAGGTATATCCTAAAATTTGTTTGTAAAAGACATAGAAATAGACTAATAAACAGTTGTGAACACAGTAACAAGTGTATTAGCAAACGCAGTACCCAGCGTGGTAGTGAACATGGTAAGGGGAAGTCCAGAGGCCAGCTCCCCGCTTGGGGAGATGCACCAGCGGTTTGTCATTTGCTGGCGGGGCTGAGGAGCGAGACAGCAAGGCCTCCTGCGAGGGCTGGGATGGGTCTGAGGGCGCTGCTCTGGCTCCGGGGCGAGGTGGTGGAACCTTCTATCCAAAGCAGAAGGACTTGGTGGTTCTGTCCTCGCCGCTGCCGAGGTGGTGCTGGGGCCGCAGGGTGGAACTCCAAGGCCAGGCAGCAGAGCTCATGTGGGGAATCGAAGCAGTAAATGGGCACCTACAAGGGCAGAGTCAGAAAGTGCTGATGAAGCCGTGAGGGCAGGAGCAGGAGGGACTGGGCTCCTGGGTTGTTTGGAAGTGTGCTGTAAAAAGGGTCATTGCTAGCACAGGAGAGAGGCTCCTTACTGGTTCTTTACTGGCAACTACAGTGCTGCTTTGGTCCCTTCTCAACACATGTGATACCCTCAGAGCACGGCAAGTTGACAGAGATGCATAGTGCCCCCTTGCCAGGCAGCAGGGCTCGGCAGGGAGCCTGGGAAGCTGGGATATGGTCCTTTCCAAAATCCAAGCAGCAGCATCCCTTGCTCTGCCATACTAAAACCACAGGTTGGCAGGCGATGCTGGGGTAGCATGTTTCTCCTGACACACATGTTCCCCTGAGGCAGGACCATCCTGTGCACCTCAGGAATGTTTCCTATACTCAGAGCTTGGCAAATAGATGGAACACAGGCTCTGCTACATACCTGGGTGCCTCGTTCTTCCCCTGCTTGAATTTCTTCAGTTGGCCATCCCTGAGAGCTCAGTTTTGCTCTTCTTTCGGCACCGTGGCCCGTCGTTGCCCTCTTCCCAGATTGCTCTTCGCTTCCTGGTGTTCCGCAAAGAGCCAGGGAACCTTTCCATTCAACAGTATTGTTAGACAGGTGAAGCCATGATTACCTTGAGCCAAGCAAAGCCAGGCAGTTTTACCTTTTCTCCCCGGATAAGCTCCTCTGCTGTTCGCTCTCAGGAGCGATGGGAGGCACCTGCAATGGCGATGTGTAGGTTAGCAGGGGGCAAGGGCCTCCCTGCACAATTGCTACCTTGGCTCTAAAAGGCACATTCCTTGGATGGGTTTGCTCAGCTCAGCTGAGCCAGCTGTGGCGGGATCACCTCACAAAGCGGGATGGCCAACCTGCATCAGCCTTGCTCTGTACTTTGGCAGAGCTGCAGGCTGGCGGATGACCGTCCTTGTCCCTGTGGCAGCAGCAGCCCCACCTTCTGAGGGGGGAGGCTTTTGTTGTCACACTGCTCATGCACTTCACTTACCTCTGCTGTTTCCAGCTCTGCTTGAGGTGCTGGTGTCTCCTCAACCCCCTTGCTGGCCAACCCGGCCACCTGCTCTCCAAGGAGTTCCTCATGGTGGTCGATGAGGAACTCAACAAGCTTCGTCACCTGCACAGAGCAAACCACTGGTTTCACCGAGGGGGCTGATGAGGGCTCAAACAGCCTTTCCCAGCCTGACCCGCACTTCTGTGCAAGGAGATGCAGCCGTGGGGCTGCTCTTCCCAGCTGCTGCCCCATGGCTTTGCTGATGGGAGGAGGCAGCCAGGACCCTCTGAGCAGCAAAGCCTGGCTGGGCTGGGGACGCTGTAACCAGGTGGTGAACACAGCGTACCTTCCCTGTCTCCAGAGCCAGGACATCCAGGGGCAGCTCCTGGGGTGGGCTCAGAAGGTTTGGTGCCAGGCAGATGGCCAGGTTCCCAGCGGTCATCTTGGTTGTGGCCACATTCCTGCTGATGCTGCTAAGCAGCGACAGCAAGTGTCGGAGCAGGAGCAGGTTGGCCCCTGGTAACTTGCTGGCCACCCTGAGGGAACACGAGCACAGCGTTAATGAAGTCGGTGTTGACAGCAGAGGTCTCCCAGGCTGATCTCACCCAAGGCCACTGCCTGCTCTACAGCAGAGGGACTGCCTTTGCTGAGATACGGCCACCACCCTCCCTCCCTCCCTGCCCTTCTGAAAAGGGCCCTTGTTGGAGCGAGCCCCACCACCAGGGAGCTCGCTGGAGAGAAAAGCTTTTCGGTGCCTCTTTGCCCCCAGACATAAACCCCACAGCAGCAGGAGGTGGCTTGCGGGAGCCATGGCTATTTCAGGCAGGCCACTGCTTTACATTGGAGTCCCAGCCTGTGCCAGTCCCTGCTGGCTGCTGCCACACTTACTCTTTCAGGGCTGCCAGCCTCTCCTGCCTGCAGGTCTTCTCCATGGCGTGCATCCATTCCTGGAACAGCTGGGTGTCGAGGAGCTTTGAGGGGATATTCCGGAGGAGGTCCTGCAGTGCCAAGGGCTCCACGTGAGGCTTTGGCCAGTGCCCCCAGGAGCATCCGCAGCATCCCCAGGCCTCCGGCTCATGAGCAGGTGGCTGAGTTTCTGCTTGTGCTCCCGCAGGTGCCCATCAGCACCAAGGGAGCCGGGAGCTGCAGGGCTCTGGGTCAGCAGGGCTCACCTTCAAGAGGACAGCCAGCAGCAGCACGGGCTGGTTTTCCAGCTGCACTGGCACCCCGCTGTCCAGGGCGTCCCTGACCTCGCGGCAGGCGCGCTGGCTGACTGCCAGCCGGAAGATCCCCTCCGTGGATGGGCCATGCTCCTTGAGCAGAGCCAGCAGGTCCTGAGGGCACAGAGGAGGAGAGTTGCTGGGCTGGGGACAGGTCCTGAGGTAGGTGCTGGGGACAGCCTCTCTAGGGAGGAGCCTGACGGATGGGATGGGATGGGGAACCCCTGCCCAGGCTGGCTTACCTGGATGGGCTGAGGCAGCATGCCGTCCTGGTTGCACAGATCTGCCAGGGGCCGGCCAAAGAGAGCTCCTGCGACAGCAGAGCCCGATGGCCCTGGTGCCTCTGCCGCAGCCCGGGTGCCTAGCCATGCAAATGGCCAGGGCAGCTTCCTCTTGCTCCTGCTCGTCCCGCCTGCTGCCAAGGGAAAGAGAGCAAAGAGCCGTGGAGGAGAAGCACCAGGAGAGCGCTCCCAGACTCCCCCAGTGCTGTCCCCCCGCACCGAGGGCACGAGAGAGGCAGCATCATTTGGGAGCGAGGGGCCCCAGTGCTCAGCTCCCTCCTGCCGCAGAGTGACGGGGATGGACGTGTCCTGCAGGAAGGGCAGCGGCAGCCCCATTGCAGCACGTGTGCCCGCCTGCAAGAGCAGGAGAGAAGGGCCATCCTGCCCCTGTCTTCTCCACACTCACCATCCACATGGCCATGTCTGCCTTCACTGCCGGAAGGGCGAGGGACCGGCAGCTGCCTGGCACCAGCCTGCAAGAAATGGGCTGCGCTCACCAAGGAGCCCCACAGCAGAAAGGGCCCCTGGCAAGCTGCATCAGCTGCTGGCCGTGTGTGAGAGGTGGGGATGGGTGAGATTGCTCCTCAAGTGACCCTGACCTTGGCCTGGCGCTGGAGCAGCTTCTCCAGGCTGCCGGCATCCAGTGTCTTCCCCTGGGCAAGGGGAAAAGAGCATAAGGTGAGGAGCGATGCAGCTGATGCTGGGCTGGAGGAGCCCCTGGGGACAGCGCAGAGGCAGGAGGGACACTCACAGCATGGCGGCCACTCAGCTCCTTCAGGACCAGCCTTATGGACGGCAGCTGGGTCACCCGGGCTCCCTGAACTCCTTCTGGTGGTCTGTGCATGGGGAAGGGGGAGAGAAAGAGCTGTGTGAGACCCAGGCCAGCTCTTCCCTCTGCTGCCAGCCTTGGGGGTGCTTCCACAGTGCCAGGAGCAGCCAGGCCTGCCTGGTAGTGGAGCAGGAGCAGCAGTGGTGAGGATGGGGCTGGGCAGGTGTTGTCTGGACACAGCTGGATGAAGCAGCTCTGCCAGCTGTGCCTGCTTGGCAGTGGTGACACCTCTGCCTGCAGCTGTGGGGGCACCTCTGCCTGCAGCTGTGAGCAAACCTCTGCCCAGCTCAAACAAGGTGTTTCAGCATCCATGCCAGACATGGAGCATCCCCCCCACGGTGGGTGCTCTGGCTGCCCGGGCTGTCCATGCTGCAGTGCCCGAGAGGGCTTACCCAAGGAGGGCGCTGACCCAGATCTCCTTCACTGCCCGGGAGCTGCCAAAAGAGAGGAGAAACAGCCTGAGCGCCTGCTGTGCCCCAGCAGATGATGCCCAGTGGGACAGAACGGAGGAGCTGCCCACCCCTCTGGTGGAACTTTGCACCGAGACTCACCAGAAGGTGACGACACAGGAGCCACAGGGCCAGAGGAAGACAAGGGAGCTGGAGGCCTTCCCTTCCTCCTCCTCCTCAGCAGCATCACCAGCTGGGCCCTTCCTGCTGGTGCTGAGCACCTGGAGCAGGCCCAGGGCCAGGCACAGCTGCGGGCGCGGGGTGCTGCCACGTCTGCAGAGAGGAGCGGCAGGGAGTGAGCTGGAGGTGGCCGAGCCCGCTGGCTCCCCTCTAGTGCCCGCCAGCCACGGGCAAGGCCACGGGTGCATCCAGCACCAGGGTGCCGGGGCCCTGGGGCTGCTCGTTGGCTGTCCTTGCTCTGGTGCCCTGGTGCCAGGGCCAGGGCTTGGGAGGAAAGGTAGTGGGCTCTGGCTGTCTTACTTGGTCTTGGTGATGACCAGGGTGTCTCTGAAGAGGAGGAGGTTCCTCTTCTTCCTCTGGCCACGGCCCTGGCTCACCCGCACACGTTCCCTGAGCAGCGGCTCAGGCAACGCCGGGTTGGTCTCGCAGCGCTCGTCGGGTCCAGGGTCATCACTGCAGGGCAGACAGCACTGGGCATGAGCAAGACAGCTGCTGCAAGGTCTTGCTGTGCCGGAGCATCCCCGAGCTGTTGGGGTACCCACCTGGACCCGCAGCAGCAGAGCCACTGCCCCATCCTGAGCAGGTTGCGAGAAGACGCGCGCGTAAGAAACTTGTGGGCAAACCACGAAGATGGGAGCGCTCCTCTACAAGAGGTTGGCACCCCCAGTGCCGCTGGTGCTGCCACTCGCAGCACCGCCCGTGCAGGCCCTGGGGCTGTTGCTGGGCCAGCACCGGGTTAGTACGGAACACCACTGTGACCTCAGTTCTGGAACCCGGGGGCCCAGATGGGGCGGAGCCCTGTGGGGCTCTCCCCAGGATGCCCATGTCCAGCCCCAGCCCCAAAGTCTGCTCCCTTACAACTGCAGTGTCCACCAATGGAAAGTCACGGCTTCTGCAGCCATGGTCTTCTGACTCACAGGACCTGGGTAGCCCCAGGTCTACCATGCGCACTGAAGACTGAGGCAATGTAAAAGCATTAGATGCCTCTGTCTTTTTGTCATCCCCACTTTTCAGTGGCCGTCTTCGTAAAGTATCAGTCCAATACTTTCGTTAGGCCTCCGCTTGTTATTAGCATGCTTCAGAGAAAGCCTTTTGTTGTAGTCTGACGGCACACTGACCAGTTTCATCTCTAGTTGAGCTTTGGCCTTCCCTAGTGGCTCCCTCCATGTGTGAGCCGCAGCTTAGCAGTCTTCCTGAGAAGCTCGACCTTGCTTCTAGAGAGCGCACAGTTTCTGTTCCCGCCCCAGTTCCAGGAGGAGTTCCAAGCTGCTCTTCTGCTGCACCTGCTTGACTCCCATTGACACAGTTTTATTTCAGTTTCTTTTTCTGGAATTCTGTCATGGGGCGCACATGCTGCTTTCTCCACGAGACCTCTGTTGGGAGGCACGGGGTATATGGCAGGAAGGTCTCCTGAGATTATTATGATTATGTCTCTTTCCATGCCGTTTTTCATAGAATCGTAGAAAATTAGGGTTGGAAAGGACCCTTTTTCTTTTTGAGTACTCGAGATAGAAATGATTCCTATCTCTGTCCTGTTTCTGTCTGAGATTTTACCTTTCTAACCTTTCTATGGACTTTCTAACAACCTCTTCCTCCACACAATTAACAGTCTTCTAGTGTCTGAAGGTGGCCCAAAAGGATGCCTATTTGTAGGCCCGTTCAGGGGGGACCACTGAAGGGACTGTTCACTGAAGGGACCATCCATCAGGAGATGGAAGCTGGGGGAATTTACAAAGGAGCAGCAAGGAGATAAGCTTACGGTGATAATCAGAAGTTAAATATGTTAAATTCTCACATCCAGGCAGTGAATTCTCAAGAATCCCTCAAGAGGAGACAAATTCTGTGGCATTTCTGTAATTATTTAAAAGTTTGATTTTCTCGCTTTTAGGCTAGGTACATACCACTTGCAAAACCAATGCCCATATGAAGGCAATGCATCTATTGGAACTTGAATTCATTTAGCAATATATTCAGCTATCTGGGTTTTGGTGCTATCTGCGTTGTTGGGTATTGCACTTTTAACTGATAGAGCTTCATATCAGAGAGAAGGCACTGACGAAAGGATACTGCAGATGCGTAAGTTCTGTTAGAGTAGTCAATACTGCCTGAATGTAAAGATAAAGCAGATCTCTCTGTCCAGCAACTTGAGCTGGAAGTGATTAAAGAACATGACACCCCTTTCCCCAGTTCACAGTGGTGGCATTGACTTTTTCTTAACTTCTATGATCCTTTAGACTGATACTTGTTATAGGAACATCTCTAGTCTGAGATTTGTTTAAAAAGCTGTCTGTTGATTGGTGTGAGACTCAAATATATTCTCTCTTTCCACCTGAGCTGTTTCTCATATTATTTCAACATTTTCCCACTTTCATGAAGAAATAGCTTAGATCTGAAGAACTGGGATAAAAATAGAATAGTTGCAGGTAACCTCAGCCTTTGAATAAAAAAAAAGAAGCCATTTTGTTACTGTGCGTGGTATCTATGTGGGTGCAGTTCTCGTCTCCCGGCTGCAGAAACAATGTAGTAGCATTAAGTAAAGAATGGAATGGGTTTTGCATGCAGTAAGTGTAAATTAAGTTCTTCAGCTTGAAAATAAGGAGTTGTAGGAGGGTTTTGATAACGTTAGGAATGATCAGGAGAGGAGGAGAGAGCATAAACAAGAAAACTTTATGCTTTTGTATAAGTCCATAGTGATTTTGCATCACGCAGAAGGAACAATTTCTGTGTGAAGAGACTATGTCTCTTCTATATGAAGAGACAATTTCTGTGTGAAAGAATTCTGCAGTTTAGAAGAGGCATGACAGGAGAAATTGAGTAAAGTTTGTAAAATCATGAATGTCATGGAGAATGTGAAGAGAAAATAATTATTTGCTGTTTCTCAAGAGTACAAGAGCAAGGAGATAGCCAGTGAAATGATCAAGCAGTAGCTTCAAGACAAATGAAGGGACGTAGTTCTTCATGATGTGCATAATTAAATTTCAGGATTCATTGCTGCAGAGCGTTGTGGAGGCTTAAAGTCTGGATGGGTTCAAAAGCATTTAGACAAATTCATGACGGATACTTCCATCTAGGGCTATTAAACACAATGATGGGAACTGGGAATCCCTAAACCACAATTTACAGGAAGATGAAAGGTTGCTGGAGGGTTGGGCAAGAGGTAAGGAAGGACTGCTGTATGAAATAGCATGGCATATTCTCTTCCTAAGCATCCAATGCCAGCCACTACTAGGGATGGAAGTAGTAGGGAAGGAATGACTGCTCTCCCCTACTTGCACCTTCCCCTCAGGTATTTATGTTACGTTGATGAGATCCCTCTGAGCCTCCTCTCCTCCAGGCTGAACAGTCCCAGCTCTCTCAGCCATTCCTCACAGGAGAGATGCTCCAGACCCTTTGTCACCTTTGTGACCCTTTGCTTGACTGACTCTAGTAGGTGACCCAGTACTGCAGGTGTGGCTGTACTAGTGCTGAATGGGTGGAGTTCATACTGTGCTTTGAGGGCTTGGAATGCAGCAGAGATCAAGGTGGTTTAAGCAGCCAGCTTTCAGAGTATATCTGACCATGGCTGGGGCACATCAAGGAGCATTTCAGCAAAGCAGAGTTACTTTTTTTTTAGTATTTGTTATCTGTGGTTGAGGCTTTAGGAGAATGGATGCTTGTGCATTGCTGCTTGAGTGTTAGCTGCTGTCCGAAACTCTTACTGAATCTGAATTTCACTTGATATTCTGAAGCTGTCATTTCAGGAGCATCTGTGTGCTTGCTGATTACCTACACTTTATGCAAAAATATTTTATTTTACCATACAGAATTACCTACGTGTTTACAAGTATCAGACCAGGTACCAGTAGAATGAGATTGGAAAACGGAAGTAAAATTTTCAAGTACAAGGTTAAACTGGGTTCTAATTGTTTTCCAAAATAAGACTTTGATAAATCTAGTTAGTGATGATTTTCCTCCTGTAAAAACCTCCTGTAAAAAAAGTGTTTATCCCTGTACAGTGTGATCCTG